GCTCCCGCGTGGCGGCTGCACGGGGCTCCCTGCGTGGCGGCCACTGCTCGCAGGGCTGCCAGTGGGGATCGGGTGTCCCCGGGGACCCGGGAATGTGACCTTCTCCCATGGGGCTGAGGAGTAATTGGATCCTGCAGTAAATTTAGCACCTGACCTTTCCTTCCTGCCTGCCTGCCCCAAGCTGGGGTCGCTCTTAATATTTAACTGTGCCTCCTTGTCCTTTGGACGCAGCCGATGGGCTTCCTCCCGCTTGTGTGCGCAGCGAGCAGCCCGTTTCCCCGAGGAAAAGCAATGGAGACCTTCTCCCATGGGGCTGAGGAGTAATTGGATCCTGCAGTAAATTTAGCACCTGACCTTTCCTTCCTGCCTGCCTGCCCCAAGCTGGGGTCGCTCTTAATATTTAACTGTGCCTCCTTGTCCTTTGGACGCAGCCGATGGGCTTCCTCCCGCTTGTGTGCGCAGCGAGCAGCCCGTTTCCCCGAGGAAAAGCAATGGATGTTCTGTGCGCTGCAGCAGTCGGGAGTGCTGGCGCCACCTACCCCTCCTTATCTGTATGTCTCTTCCCAGATTCGGCCGCATTGGCCGCCTGGTCACCAGGGCTGCTATCATGTCTGGCAAAGTTCAAGTGGTGGCCATCAACGATCCCTTCATTGACCTGAACTACATGGTGAGTTTCCTCGTGGTGTTTGCCCCAGGCCTTGTGTGCACCTTGCCTCTCCCCAGGGTGCAGCTGGTCGGCCTGCAGCTCTGTTCCAGCAGTTCCCTCTGGATGCCAGGCAAGGGGCAAAGCAGAGAGATAGGAGCCTTGCATTTGTGGCAGAGCCAAGTGTAAAGCAGTGGCTGGACAAGCTTATTGGAAAAGACTGGGAACTGATTGGTGTGTGGGCAGAGCAAGGGATGTGGAGATTGCAGCTAGGGTGCCTGACCTTTATTATTTTTTTTTCCTACTCTCAATAGGTTTACATGTTCAAGTATGACTCTACTCACGGTCACTTCCATGGCACTGTCAAGGCTGAGCATGGGAAACTTGTAATTAATGGGCATGCCATTACCATTTTCCAGGAGTAAGTATCTCCCCCTTCATCCCTTAGAAGGTTGGAAGCAGGTTTCTCTGAGCCATTCTTAACGGTTCTGCCATTCCTCAGACGTGATCCCAGCAACATCAAGTGGGGAGAAGCTGGTGCTGAATACGTTGTGGAGTCCACTGGTGTCTTCACCACTACAGAGAAGGCCAGCGTGAGTAGGCCGCAACAGCATGCAAGATAAGAAAGGGGGCACGTTACCATCTGCAGAAGTCTTAAAGACATGGAAGAGATGGTTGGGAGGAAGAAAGAGGGTGTCTGAGCAAGAGCTTCTTTTTCCCAAGCTGGTGGGGTGTTTGGGGTTAACTAATCTCCTTCTCTTCTCCCAGGCTCACCTGAAGGGTGGTGCTAAGCGTGTTATCATCTCTGCCCCCTCAGCTGATGCTCCCATGTTTGTGATGGGTGTCAACCATGAGAAGTATGACAAGTCTCTGAAAATTGTCAGGTAAGAGAGGAGGAGTCTGCCTGGTCTGGAGCTTTCACTGGGGGTCTAATCTTTCCTGCGTGGAGACGTTGCCTGTGCTTGATGTGTACTTTTCTTTCTTGTCCTTAGCAATGCCTCTTGCACCACCAACTGCTTGGCACCCTTGGCCAAGGTCATCCATGACAACTTTGGCATTGTGGAAGGTCTTATGGTAGGTCTAGAGCCTGCTGCGCAGGCGGGTATCTTATCTGCAGGTGTGCTCATGTGAGAAGCATCTTCTCGCAGGCTCTGCATTGCGAGGGATGCAGACCTGCAAAGCAAAATAGCTGTCCTCCAGCACTGGGATGGTGGGGGAGGTGTTCATGATGTGTGTGGGAGGGGGTGGATTTTTTTTGTTCTGTCTTCACCAAGACATTATGGGCTGTGTTCTCACTTGTGCTCTCTTTCTTCAAGACCACTGTCCATGCCATCACAGCCACGCAGAAGACTGTGGATGGCCCCTCTGGGAAAATGTGGAGGGATGGCAGAGGTGCTGCCCAGAACATTATCCCTGCATCTACTGGGGCTGCTAAGGCTGTTGGAAAGGTCATCCCTGAGCTCAATGGGTGAGTGTTGCCCCTTCTTGGGTGTCAGGAGGAGATGTAGGGTACCTGGCTGACTCTGATCTGTTCCTGGGAGGAATGGGTATTAACTGCTGTTCTGGCTCTCACAGGAAACTTACTGGAATGGCTTTCCGTGTGCCAACCCCCAATGTCTCAGTTGTGGACCTGACCTGCCGTCTGGAAAAACCAGTAAGTATTGTGGAGAATGCCCTAGCAAACTCCAAAACTGCCTCTGCTTCTCCCCATTACTCTTGTCTGGAATTGCTTCCTCTACCTCCCTCTTCCATAACAAGATGAGGTCAGCACCTGCTGTGCTGCTCACAAAACCTGGGCTCTGGCACAGCTGACACTTTCATGTGAATTGGGATGTGGTTGTCTTAACGTTGTTTCTATTATCAGGCCAAGTATGATGACATTAAGAGGGTAGTGAAGGCTGCTGCTGAAGGGCCCTTGAAGGGCATCTTGGGATACACAGAGGACCAGGTAAACCAACTTGGACTCTAGGCCCGCACTTGGTAGCGCTCACTTTCTGCTGGGTGCTGCCTGCTTACGGCACTCAAGTCGGGTTGCCTCAATCTGAGGTGGAAAGCTAAGTTACAGTCTCCTTTTCCAGGTTGTCTCCTGTGACTTCAATGGTGACAGCCATTCCTCCACCTTTGATGCGGGTGCTGGCATTGCCCTGAACGATCACTTTGTGAAGCTGGTTTCCTGGTACGCACAGCCTCTGGGTGCATGGAGGGCAACACAGCTTTTTAGGGGAGGAGCAGGTGGTTGTGTTGCATATTTGGGGGGGTGGAGGTGCATGTGTGTGTTCAGCACAAGCTGGCTCTGCATGCCAATACACTGCTGCTGAGTAGGGTTTCTCCAACACCTAAAAGTCCTGGGGTGAGTTTGGCTTGTAAGTTAAACAACTGCAGCCTTTTTCTTCCCTTAGTGGGAGACTTGAATGGGTTGCTTCTTTTCCTTATCGCTTGTGTTTCTGTCTCCAGGTATGACAATGAGTTTGGATACAGCAACCGTGTTGTGGACTTGATGGTCCACATGGCATCCAAGGAGTGAGCTGAATACATGAGCCCCCCTGCTGCCTAGGGAAGCAGGACTCTCCCTCGCTAGAGACCCTGTCCTTTTCACCACCACGTAGCTCTGCAAACTGCAGTGAGAGGCCAGTTCTGTTCCCTTCTGCCTCCCCCACTCCTCCAACTTGCTCCTGAGCCTGGGGGAGATGGTGAGGCTGATAGAAACTGATCTGTTTCTGTACCACCTGACATCAATAAAATGATCACCATCTGAAATGCACTGTCCATGTCTCAGTGGGGAAAATAGGGGAAAATCAGCAAAAGTCATGTACCTGCTTTAAGGTGAGCGCTGCCAGCTTTTGGGTATAACTGGATCAGCTCTTCCATACACTGAGCAATCTGCTGTGCCCAAGTGCTGTGCAGAGGGCATGTTACGTGAGGCAAGGTGGACACAGCAGGAGCTGCCTGTGCATGGCACAGCCAGGGAGCACTGCTGTCTTGCTTGAGCTGTCATGTGGGTTGCAACAAGGGCTGTTGATGGGGCTGATAAGTTACTTGCAGGGGCTGAGGCTCCTGCCCTCACGCCCAAGCGAGTGCAGGCAGCTTTGCTCCTCTGTGCACCACCTGGCTTTGCAGGCTTGCTTGCATGGAGAAGTGCTGAGCAGTTAACTACTTTTGCATTTGATTCCATAAAGTGGACCAAAAAAACCCAAGTGCCTCCCTTCTGCTAGCCTTACACCTGGAGAGGTGATTTTTTTTTTTCCTTTCCCCTTTGCTTTTACCTTGAGCTAGATTGCTCTAGAAGAAAGGGCTACTTGGGCTTGTCTGAGGCCTCTGTCATCAAACAAAGGTTAGCCTAAAGCCTGGCCTTGCCTGTGCAGGCAGCTGGGGCAGTTGCAGCCCACCTGTTGAGCTGCAAATCTATTGGGAGCAAATGCTAGTCTGAGCTCAGCGTGTGCCATTACCCCCTGCTGCAGTCACTCAGCAGGGATGGCCAGGAGCCTCACCTTCCCTGACCCACATACAATGGGATGCATATGCAATGACTGCCCCTGCCACACACTTGTGCTGGCATCTGCCTTAAGAGCTCAGTTTTGAAGGGCTGAGCCATGTGTGAGGCACTGCATTGCTCTTGACACCCTGGGAGGTGTGTGGACCCCAACTGGTGCAGTTCCTGATCTGGAGCATGCCCTTGGAGTCTTTCCCAGGATGGAGATCAATGTTACCATTATTTAACATAGAGTGTCCAGAAGCAACTTATCTGATATAGTATAACTGTGTAAGAATTATGCTGGCTGGGCCAGAGGGCAGTATTGCTTTGCTCAGAGAATGCTCTCAGGAGGAGAAAAAAAGAAAAGAAAAGAAAAGAAAAAGTTGAAAAACCTGCCCAATGAGGTGTGGTGTGAACTAGAGCTCCAAGCAGCCTCTAGGTAAAACACAGTTATTTTGAACTGTATACCTTTTTTTTTTTTTTTTAATGCGGAACACTGCAGGAACATTTCAAATATATATATACATATATATATATATATATTCACCTAAGCAGGCCTTTTTTTTTTTCTGAGATAAGGCTCCCTGAAAATTCCCCTGCAAGGAACTCACTCTCTTTATCAGGAATGCTTCTTATCTGACCAGAGCTCAGACTGCTGTGGCAGTTAAGTGGAAGTTAGTAAGACTGGCCATTGGGGCTGGGGCGTTGTAAGCACCACCTTTCAGAACAGCGACTGATGTGAATGGCTCAAATAGAGCAGTTTATTCTGTTTTCATGAAAATGCAAAAAAAAACATTCCTGCCTGGTGTTCCTGAGGAAATGATACAGGCAGTCAGGCAGAGCAAGCTGGTAGTCCTGGAATTTAAAATATGGTTGTTCTCTTATGGAAATAGTGATCAGAAAATTGGCACAGCAAGTTGCACAGTCCTCAGCCTGCCTGGGTGGGCTCTGTTTCTGCTGCTTTTCCCCCATATCATGGTGGGGACCATAACATGGTTTTTGCAGCCACGCAGGCAGACGTGGCGCCTGCAGGTGGCACCACAGCAAGGCCCTGGTGGCCAGACGGAAAAGCTAGCCCAGGTCCCCAGGCCTTGTTCCTGTCACCTTCTCCAGGAACAGCATTTCTGGCCTAAAAAAAAGAAGCAACGACTGTAAATGGCAGAGGGCTAAAGATAAGATCTCTGCCACAGAGACCAGGCCTCCACCTGGAGAAGAGTTTTTGCCTAAGCAGAGGAGCTCTGGGTTTGTTGGAAATATTTCCAAAGAAAAGTCTCTGAAGGGCTTAGTCACAGAAGGCAGGAGCTTGGATATACATGAAGGGATCCTTGCTTAGCAAAGACACCCAAAGCGATTGTGCCACTTTGCTGGGGCAACCCAGCTCAGAGAGCAACTGGAAACCATTGCAGTTTAACTCCTTGCTGAGCAGCAGCAAAGGGAAGTTGTAGAGAGAAACGGCCCACAGCTAAAGGGGGGGACAAGTCGCAGACAGGCAGTCAACCTTTTCAAGGAGTGGTAAATTGCCCCTTTTGCTTTCCGTTTTCTGAAACTGAGGAAATTCAAATGAGGATGTGCTGCAGTAATTAGCAGTGGTGTTGCAGGGCAATTTCCTTTTATGGCAGCTTTGACTCATTTCAGAAAATGTTTGTTCTTCACTGCCATTTGCAGTATCACTTTTACAGCTACATCCCCAAGAAATGGCCACGGCATTGCCCTCAAGTCACCACTGACTCAGAAAAGCAGCGTGAAACATCAGCCTTCAGCAAAAGGTTTTGTAGTGAAGATCAATACGGGTAGAGGTTGTGCAAAAAAAAAAAAAATCACACTACTCAGAACATAACGAGATGGTGAATGCGTAAGCTCAGCCACCAAACTTGGTCACTCAAACATACTCTATTCATTTCTAAAATGAATTTGTCTCTGAGCAAATGGATCAATGAGGAAGAGGAGATGAGGTCTTCGATATTGGGCGTTTGTATAGGCCATGCGGACTCAACGCCAGCATCTAGCACTCTTCCTTGCAGTAGATGTCATTCCCGAAACACAGGCTCATCACTTGCAGTCAGCGTGTGCGAATGCTGCTTTGCGCTTGGGCAGTACTAACAGAAAGTGTGTGTCTCAGCCAGCAAGCTGGGCACTGTTACTTTACACACACTGCAAAATGAGTAACTTGTTGCTTATCCTTGTGAGCTGAATATAATTTCTTGCAATAGTACCACTAACTTAAATGCAGGTATTATCTTACTATATAAGTATCACCTTACCTTTTTATAGCACATGGAGGAATTATTTTCAATTAAATGTATGAGACAGCATCTCCTAGGGGAAACAAGAGTAACAACATGCAATGATTTACTGCATAAGGAAAAGAGCCTTTAAAGAGCAGAGCCTGTAGCCAAATAAAAATAGTGGGAGAACACATCAATTCTAGAAATTAAATTTAAACTCTCAGAAAGGTAATCTTAAAAAAAAAATCAAAACCAACCAACCAAACAAAAAACTCTTACGTGACAAATAAATAAAGGTAATATTAAAACACATTTTTCAAATGCATCTAGGACTGGAAAGTTATCAGGGTCCAAAGAACTATGAGCGGGAGTAATGGGAGAAGCTAAGTATGTGGTAGAAGAGTAAAGAACATGTTTTGTGGCTGGAGGAGCTTAGGGGTATTCCCAGACAAGAGTCTTCCCTTGGAGATTATGCCATTGCAAACTGAAGTGTCAGGACTTTTTAAAACAAACCAATAAGAGGAAGAGCAGCAAACTGTCACTACCAAGTGCCATGTCCTCAGCTGTCTTAGAGATTAGGCTGATGACCAGTTAACTGTGTTGCAAGCAATTTATCCCTTGAATCAGCCCTGCTATGGCGGGAGTGGAAAATTACAGGTGTGAGGACTACTTTGTAGTATGATTAATATTTTTTTAAAAAGAAGAAACTAGAAACTACTAGTCCAGAAACTATAGAAAAAATATAATCTCTATATCTGGCAATTTAGCTGAAATGAAGAATGAGGAAAAACATTAGTCAGCACCTGGTTAACCATGAATCAGTGGGGAAATATCAGCAGTCAACAGAGGAGGAAAGCTGTCCTGCTTGAATCCATCTTTTCCATACCATACCTTTAGAGCAGTTTGTGGGAGCAGGGTGGCAAGCAGTCAGCTTTGAATCAGCCTGTGAAAAGCTGCAGAAGGCTCTTGTGACCGACTGCCTGCATTATTAAAATGGCAGGTGAAATCGAAGGTTGATGAATGAAAAGTAATACATGTAAGTCCCAAAGGGCTCTGCCCAACTCACTACCGAACCATGCTAAAATCTCATTGCAGGCACATGGCCTCTAGTCTTCCCATTTCCTCAGCCTTGCCCTTTCCCAGACTGACTAAATAGCAGGAATCACGCTTAGGATTTTTTTTACTCCATCTGCTCCAAAATGGGATGCAAAATGAGACAAATATAAGCAGCTTCACATGGCACTAAAATATGTTTAATGCTATCATAGCCTTCAGTGCCCATCTGAGAACTTGTCCAAAGCTGCTTGTAAGCCCTGCTCCCTAAGCCTTTCTGGACTCCTGCTCTTGTCCCAGATACAGCAAGCCATGGCAGAGGAAGGCTTGACATTTCTTGTTCTTAGATGTATCTATGCATAGCTTAAATATGGGCTATACATTTACACAACTATCATCAGGCCTATGCTTTGGCTTGTTTAAAGATGTATAATGTTTAGATGCCTCTTGGAATGCTGACTACGGCATTTATCCCTTTTGAGACTGTCATTTCTTAAAAATGGTATGAGGTATGTCTGTCAATCCTCATCTTTTCAGAAATCCATGCAGACTTTCCAATCTTTGCAGCTTTCCAATTCCCCCTCACACACAGGTTTCTCATGTCAGGCTGATCATTTTGGTTGCTTGATTCACTTAGTCACCCAGTCTTCATTAAATTAGTTTTTCCCAATTCATTTAAAAATTGACATTAGCAAACAAAGGACTTCAGAACCACTGAGGCTGGAGTGCTTTACAAAATGCCGTTTGCAAGAATGCAGTTGCAACACTCACTCTTTTTTTTTCCCGACTCACTCCATCTCCCGCAAGCAGCCTGAAGCTGTCTGTGGTGCCTCCTTTACCGCTTTGCCTTCCTATGCAGCCTCCAAGCATTTGACTGTTGCTGACTTCTGTGTGCCAGTGAGCTGTGCCTGGAAATCTAAAAATGTTTGTCCTAAATGGATCTTGTCAAAGAGCCTCTTTAATTACTAATGGCCTGGAAAGTGCTTCATCATTCTCCTGTGACCACA